CAGTTTCTGACTCTCGTAGAAGTACCTTAAATTGCATGTTCTTGACTTTGCTTGACTGCTTTGACTAGAGTGTCTTGATGAGTCCGATCCTGAGTGAGTATGTGCCATGTGTGGGTGAGGTTTTGTGTTATTTTGTGCATTGCATTTGATGTCTAGAACTTGCCCTATGTGTTTGCAAAGCAAAATGGTAGTTTATTCAGTCTTGGAATTAATGTAAGCATTTTTTTTGTTGAGCCAGTTATGTGCCTTATCCACCTAATTGTTATGTATCTTAGTTAATACCTTTGAGCCTGTAATCTTGTTTCTTTGGCAACCACATTACAAGCCTTACCCATTTTGTTTGAAATGACCCTCTATTTGAACCTTTTACCTCTCATGGGCACTTGAAATTGTTGTGAACTTTGTAAAAGTTGAAGTACGGCGTGGTTGGTTTGGCTTTTGAGTGGAACTAATGAAATAAGGAGACATGTGCACTAGTTTGAAAAAGTAAGAGCCACTTGAATTGAAAAAAAAAGTGAATTGTTGTGCAAAATATTCTTTGATAGTGGTGACCCTTAATGTAATTGTGCTTAAAGAAGTAGGGAGTTAAAATATATATTGATGTGAAGGTGGAGTATGGTTTGACATAAGTGTTGGGTCTTGAATGGTTAAGTATATATATTAAAAGTGCTTAGGGAGGTGTAATCACTCTCATATCCAAATGTATTCTACCTGTCCCGCAGCCTACATTACAACCAATTAAATTCCTATTGATCTTTGACTAAATGAAATCAATTAGTAGAGTAGTACACTACGGGCAAGCCTATGGTACGTCTTTTGTGGCATATGAATGTTATTTCTGAGAGTGAGTGAATTCTTTCTATCTTGAGTTCCTAATTGTTCTTCGTGTCTTTTATGTGTGGAATTACTCTCTATGGTTGTATGAGGGCACTGGATTCACAAAGGAAAGGTAATGCTTGACCTCTGTGTTAGAGTAAGTGAGCGGGTTATAGATAATGCTTGGTGTTTTTGAGTCAAATCTTGAGGTTACGATGTTACAATATTGTGCTTAATATATTTTAAAGAGTCTTGGTGTGATGAGTCTTGAGAGTTATTGAAAAAGGTCATATTTTAAGTGAAGTGTAGTTTGATTGCTCGAGGACGAGCAAAGGGTTTAAGTGTGAGGTGTTGATGGTAGGCTATAATTGCGCATTTTGTCCATTAGTTGCACTATAATTCGCTGTAATTTACTAGTGTTTGAGCTTTAAATAGTATTATTTTGCACCGAGTGTGTGTTTTATGCTTTGTAGGAGCGATTCCGAGATACGATGAGGCTGTAGAGCTAATTCGATCTATTCTGGAGCTTTGAAGTCTGAGTAAAAGCCCATGGATTAAGTTGGGATCGTAATCGAGGATCAACGGACAATAATGCACTTAACGAAGAGAAACGAAGAATAGAGAAGGAAGCCACCCAGGTACGCAGTCGCGCACTGGGCACGCAAGTAGAGCAGAACACTATCCAAAGTACGCGGCCATATGCACGATCACCTGCCCAGGTGCGCGGCCGCAAACGTCCGGTCCGAAACATTTCTCAAGCCTATTTTTGTAATTTTGGAGGCAACTCCTCTTGACCTATATGAAGCCGAGCTCGTCTAAAAATGGGGTATCTTGGATTTTTAGAGGAACTTTTGGGAGAGAAGAAGACAAGGAAGCAACGAACTCGCAAAATACTTGATTCAATTCATTCCATACGAAAGTTTGTTTGAATTTGGGAATTGTAATATTTTCTTGTTCTTCTAATACTCTTGCGATGAATATTTTCTCCATTATGGAGTAATCTTTCTTAGGGTTATTGACGAATGTTGTGATTTGACTATCGTTATGGGTTTTACTCTATGTTAACTGCCCGAATTCATTGAATGAGTTATTAATTGAATTGCAATGCTTATTATAGTTTTACTTTAATCGACAGAGAATTGTTACTGCTATTCGCATTGTGCCATATTGTTTGGGTTGATTTTACGCCTCTTCTAGGTAATCGAAAGAGCTTAGAGAGTTATCAATTAACCCGGTTTAGAAGAATAATCGAGAGGTGTTTTTCAAAAGATCATTCATTCACTATTTTTGTGCATATGTTCATAGGACCTGTTATTAGATTGATCTAAGGAATCTCATTCATTCGGAAGAAGAATTTGAATCCTTAAAGTAGCCTAATCATCTGTTGAAATCGAAGGAGTCAATAGAAGTTAAGAATGAACTTAACCTAGAGTTACCCGAAACAATAGTTGATCACATATCTTGTCACAACCCTTACTTCTCACCCTGATACTCAAGCGTTGCTACTAGTCATTAAAGTGTCATTAGTTTCTTAAAATTGATAATCTTAGTTTTATTTAAAGTCGATAATAACATCAATCAAAGATTTATTATCCTGGATAGTGTTGAGCCGAAAATTTATTAGAATATTATTTAACCCAATCCTTGTGGAGACGATTTAATACTATACTATTTTTTGACTAGCGAGCCTAAGTTTTATACACCGGTTTTGCATTCGTCAGATACGAACCTATTCCAAGGCTCAGAACCCCAAACGGACATCGATAACATGAAAGTCCACTTCAAACCAAACTTAGGAGATTCTAAAACCTTTGAATTGCCAACTTTTCACAATAAGCGCTAAAATGATCCCGGATCACCCGATACTCAACCCCGAATATACGCCCAAGTACGAAATCATCATACTTACCTATTGGAACCTTCAAATCTCGATTCCGAAGTCGTTTACTCAAAATTCAAACTTTGATCAACTATTCCAACTTAAAGTTTCTGAATTTAAAATTTTTCCATCCGAATGAACTCCGAATCTCCCGAAATTCAATTCCGACCACACGTACAAGTCATAAAATATGAAGTGAAGCTACTCAAGGTCTCAAACCGTTGAACGACCTTCTAGAGTTGAAAATGACCAATCAGGTCGTTACAGAATAATATGAATGGGAATCTTGATGAAAAGGTAGTGTTTGTATCTTAGTGAGAGAGAATCTTTTGTCAAAAGTCTGTTCTTATCAAATGAATGTCAGATGCCCCATATCATTATCTCTTTTTCTATTTATATGATATATTTTCCTAATAAACCCTAATAGTATAAGTGCAGAGAATATTCACTAGAATATTCTCTTTAATATCCTATTTCGAAAACTAGTCGTTACAACTTCGTCAATGGTGCTCGACCTCGACCATTGTTAACATCTCGACCACGAAACCTCGACTGATGACGACTCGAGGACTCTTTCTTTAGTGTTATCTTATCTTAAATATTCTTGGGCAGATTTTGACCCATACAGGTTTGACTAAATTCCAACCATCCTTTTTATTTGTCACTTGGGCCTGATAGTTGTCCCTTTCGTGATTTTTACCTACCTGTACTATATATGAAACTTATTTACCCTCCCTAATCAAATTTTAACTTAATTACATGGTCATATATAATTTATCAATTATATACAAATTAGTTTTAAATGAGTATCCCTTGATTGTAGCCTATTAATTTAGTAAATCCCTAAAAATCCTCATAATTCATTAGTTACCCAGACAAAGCCCAATCTTTCTAAAGGATTTTCCCCTTTCTCTCTTTGAAATCAACCCTCTTTCTACACCGATCCTACAAGTTTTTTCTTCTAAAGATCATAATTATCTCTAACAATGGTGAAGAAAGGGATTAATTTTTTATCGATTTGAATTTTGCTATGGCTGAAATTTGGAGCTTTTTTGGGCTTCCCCTTTTCTTGTTGGTATTCGGATGGCGTGCTAGTCGTAGATGTATATTAGTTATTTCGTGGGATTGTTCAAATTAAAATTGTTAATCATTAAATTTTGAAGGTGTTTGACTCTCCACCATTGACAACAATTAAAAGGCTTCGAAACTTTGAATTCGATTTCGAATTTTCAAAAAATATTTTTGTTTGGATTGAGTGTTATTGCAAACGATTGAGAATATTCTATGGAGTTTATATCTCGATTTTGAGGGTATTTGGTGAATATTAGATTTGATTTGGTTGGATTTTTAGATTGAAATTTGAAGAAGAAGAAGCAGAAGAACACACCAATACAAAATATGTATAATTTATATACAAAATACATATAAAAGACATATTATATAAAATTTGTATGAAAATTAAATTTAAGTTGTATGATGTTGTAGTTGTATTTAACTGGGTAAGAATGATACATGAAGGTTTTAGATAAGTTGTAAATAAGCTGTATACTGTATAATTAGTTGTATGAAATTTATTTTTAGTATGTATGTTGTTGTAGATATAACAAATTTTGTATTAAATTTGTACGAAATTTATTTTTAATTTGTATGTTGTTATACCATACATTATTCTTTTCTTAAAATAGGTAATTGTGGCAAAGAGAGAGGAGTTGCGCTAATTATGGCTTAACATAGATAACACACAACTCGAAGGAGTCTTATTCATATGGAAGGACAATGCGAATTTCGTTTCCTTCAGTTACGTCATTTTCCAAGCAAAGAATCTTCTAATTTAAGACACTAATAAAATATTGTATATAAATTGTAAGAAAAATTTATTTAGGGCTGGTAATATATAAAATTTGGACTATAATAAATAAGTTTCAAATATTGTATAGAAAGAAAAATTAAGAACCATTATATATTTGGAAACTACATAAGCAATACTATAAATTACATAATTAATAACTCAAAATATCTAAAAGACATATAAAATTATTACAGTTAAAGAAAAACTTTTTTTAACTCTCGTAATCCTAACTCTGCCACATAAATTGAGATAGGATAAAGTAGTAACTAGTACCACATAATAAATCAGTAGATTAGTAAAATAGGGAACCAAGAATATACGTTTTGTTCTTTTCCCTGAACTTTCTCTTACGCCTACTAGATCTGACTTTTGTTTGTCAGAAAAGAATAAATAAATTAACTAAAGAGTTACACTTTTGCTGATATTAATTTTTAGTCGAATTACGAGGCACCAGTACACCACTCAACTACTCAAAAGCCGAGGTAGCTAGTGAGATTCGTGTCACAATTGGACTCTCCCTCTCCCTCTCCCTCTCCCTCCATTTAAGGCATGGGAGTAGTAGAATTAGATTACACAAATTTACAGCACAATAAAAAGCTAAGGCCAAACAAGAATAGTGGAGACCAATACATTCACTTTAGAGATTTGTCACTTCAAATCGAAACTCCATTCGAATGGAGAAAGAAATTCTGGATTATGTCTTGGTACCAGTAGGATTGCTATTTATGGTGGCTTATCACATATGGCTTCTTAATCGCATTCTTAAACACCCTAATCGTACGGTTATCGGCATTAATTCCATTAATCGTCACTTCTGGGTTCGTGCTATGATGGAGGTAAATTCGTCTAATTTCCCTTTCATTTACTAATTCCAATCCATTTAATCTTCTTCCCAGAGATAATTGTTGCATGCAACCATGTATACGTGTTTAATTAGAAACTGTTGCACCACAACAACAACATGCAAACTGTTGCAACCATGTGGGGAGGGCTCTGTCTATACAGAGCTTACTGTTGGGCTAAAATGACCCAAAGATACTCTTAATAAGGTGCGATATTGTTCGCTTCATATCAAATTCGGTTTTTTCGAAAAAAGCCTCACATCATTGTCTGTATGCAACTCCTTATAAGTAGCTTCTTTTTTTCCTACATTATACGTGAGACTTTGTTCACACACTCCCACCACTTAAGAGACTGTTTTTAGAGACCTCGGCTGAGGCAAACTTTTGCACCAACTAGTTTTTATATACTACTACGGACTACTTCTGTTTCTGTCTTGATTTGTATGACACTTTTTATAAGTTTATTTTATAAAGAATTATACCTTTAATTTATATTTGGATTTAGACTTTATATTGAATCAAATTATATCGTAGAGTAATATTTTGAAATTTCTAATAAATCAATGAATGATAGTGCAGGACTCGTCCAAGAATGGAGTTCTAGCAGTACAAACGTTAAGGAACAACATAATGGCGTCAACCCTTTTAGCATCTACTGCTATTATGCTTAGTTCCCTAATCGCCGTCTTAATGACTGGCGGAAGCAAAGGTCGTTCTATCGGATTTCATGTTTACGGCGATAAGAGCGATCTTTGCTTATCAATTAAATTCTTCTCTATATTGGTATGTTTTATGGTTGCATTTTTGTTTAACGTGCAATCAATTAGGTATTATAGTCACGCTAGTATACTTATTAACGTGCCTTACAAGAAGTTGGATTGTTCAAGACATATTGTGACGGCGGAATATGTAGGGAGGACAGTGAATCGAGGCAGCTATTTCTGGTCACTTGGACTGCGCGCATTTTACTTTTCGTTTCCTCTATTTTTGTGGATCTTTGGCCCTATTCCTATGTTCCTCTGCTGTATTTTCCTTGTTTTTATGCTTTATTTCCTGGATGGTAGTTCGGATTTTGGGTGGGTTGCAGCAACTGATGTCGACACCCACACAGAGAGAGTAGCAGTTTAGATTCAATCCAAGTTGTAATAGCATATTCAGTAATGTGCAATTTTGTTATGTTCTGTTCAGTTAACAAAGTCCAAGTTGCAATTTTTTTATTGAAGGTACTGACTATTATAATACTAATGTGATGGACTGATGGGACAACCTCGAATACGAAACGTATGCTCCAAGTCTTAAGGACACTTTCAGTCCTTATTTATTTTTTATTTACTAGTCTGGGGTCATAATTATTTGTCATTTAGTTAAACAAATTCGGCGCAAAAGAAAAAGGATGGAGTATTAATTTACTTCAAATATACCTTATTACCACAAGAGAGTACATTGTCATTAATATCTCATTTGAGGAGGAAATAAAGATAATTTTAATCAAATATTTACAAATAAAACCTTAAACGACAAAAAATGACTTTGGCTTCATGTCATGTGCACATACATGTTGAGTCATATATCTATATATCTATATAAATAAAGGAGTGAAAAAGAATACTGCACCTGTCTTTGGCAAAGAAAAATACTTATCTTTTTTCTCAATTTTTTGCCCTTTCTCTTATTTTTCTAATAAATATATGTTTTCTGCAATTAAATTACAGTTGTGACATAAGCAATAATATCATAATGCTAATTATACTACAATAATTGCTCAAATACGTTACTATCCATTCCTATTACTCAAGTTATCAATTGTATTGGTAAGCTTTTTTCTTTTGGTTACTATAAATACTAAGCATTTCTTCTCAATCACATAACTCTCTTCTTTTCATCTATAATCATTCATTTTCATTCTCTCCTTTTTATTTGAAGCACTCTATAGAAAAATCTTTTTTTTTCCTCCCGAAGGTTCTTTCATTTGTAAATCTTTTGGCTGTTCATTAAGGAATGGGGAAGAGAAGAACATATGTCGCTACAAATAACAGTATTTGGGAAGTCGAATACAAGCTTGATGAAGACGCTATCATCAATGATGTGTGTGTATATATATATATATATATATATATAATAGGCGTATCAGAACGGTAAGAGGAATCAATTAAGAGAGTAATAATTTTTTGAAAATTTTCATAAGATTGGTAAGAAGGGGATTGTTGATTTGGTTTTTTAAGGAAGGATAATGATTTCTGATTTTATGGAAGAATTAAAGAGTGTGAAATAATAGAAAAGAAATGAAACAAGAAAAAAAAAAGTGTATTTTGGATACAACTTATACTATATTTTGTTAAACATTTAAATGTCTAACTTTTATTTTTAATATCAGATTACTTTTATAAAGAGATGTGTGTGAGAAAGGATGAGTGAGAGGTATAATTAAGATTACTTACAAAGTGATTTTTGACTTTTTTTTTATATAATAAAAATATAATATACGAAAAAATTGATCAAGAGATATAATGACTTAATTAGTAAGAGCAGAAAGGGGATTTGACTTACATTATTTAAGGAAGGATATTGATTTTTTATTTTGCTGGATGAATTGAATGATATGAGTACGAGAAGAAAGGAAGAAGAAAAAAAAAAAAGGAAAGCAAGGTGAAAAAAATGAAAAGAAACTGAGAAAAGGTGGGAACGGGAAGATAATGTTGGAATTAATTAAAATAAATATAAGGTAGGAGTACATGAAAAAAAATATCAAAATAAAAAACGATAGAAAAAAAGATTTTAAAAAAATCAAAGGTAGATTATCAACAAGAAAAATGACAAAAAGGGAGACGGGGAATTCAAAAATGTCAAGGTAATGGGAAGTAGTAAATGATAAGTTGTTTTTGCTTTTATTTTTGTTGGTATTTCAAGAATTAGAACTATTTTTTTTTATCTTTTTATAAAGGTAAAGAAAAGTAAAATATTACTTATATATAGACTTATTAAATTTCCTAAATTGTGAAAATAGAAGTACTTTACTAAACGTATCAACTAGAAATTTTTAAAAAATAATTGAGATGGAGATACAAAATTGTCTACTATCGGCAACTCTTTTAATATTTAGGTATTAGAAAAAATATCATGTCGTAAATATTTACTAGTTAAAGATAAAAATAGGAAATATTGCGCGACTAATTAATCAATTAGGTTGATGTCAACTTCATCTACGGAATGGTGGTAAGTAGTACGTATAATACTAATATTCTCTACCTTTTGTTAGACAAGGAGTAAATAAGTACCCACCTATCGAGGCAACTAAGCAAACCTAGCGCAAATAAATGGACTATAATGTCACTCAGAATCTAGCAGCTGACTTTTGTCAAATTTGGCATACTCAAATAAATGTAAGAGCGACAGAACGACGAGCAATCAGAAGTTCTCCATCACGATAGGATCGACAGAGCAATCCCATATTTTGGCCACACTGCCTCGCAGTCGCATGTGACAATGGAATTACTAGCATCGGCCATATTGGCGCAGCTGAAAATCTTGAATAAACTTAGCTAGCGTTTGACCATAGATTTTCAAATTTATTCTGAAAAATCTGATTTGGGTGAAGTTTGGTTTGAAGATGAAAATGTGTTTGAACATCTGTTTTGGGTGAAGCTTGATTTGGAAAAACATGAAACATGACTTATACCTACAAATTCTAAAAACTATCACAAATACCCAACAGTACCATTATCAATAACATTCATTATATTATCGCAAACCATAGTCCTGAACATAAATAAATTTGACACAAAATTATCATTTTTATAATGAATTACATGATACACCATCAGATGACCGAGAAGACGAAGCAACATCGTTACAAAATAATAAATGGTGGGCTCTTTTAAAAAATACAAAAGTTTGGAACAATTTTTAAAAAATATAATAGTGATATTTTGGCCCAAAACCAGCTATTGAGCTGATTTTGGGATTTGGGACTTGTGATTTGACTAAAATGTAGGCAAAATTTATGGCCAAACATGTGTTTGCCAAATAAAACCAAGTTTAAATTGGCAAAATCTATGGCCAAACGGGTCCTTAGATAGAGCGGTTTAGATTCAATCCAAGTTGCATCGAACTGATGTTTGTGTACCTTCAGTAATGTGCTTCAGTTATGTTCTGTACTTTTAAGAGCTACACTTAGGTAGAACAATAAGACGGAATTCCTCAATCTCTTCTGTACTCCAGTTAAGAACGTCGCCTCGCAATCCAAGTTGCACTTCTTTTATTTATGTGATGGCAGAACCTTGAATACAAAACGTATGCTCCAAGTCTCATATTATCGAAATGCAGGGCATACATTTTTGCTGCTTATATTGTTTTAGCATACATTTGTTTTAGGGCATACAAAACGTATGCTCCAAGTCGTCACCAGGCATTTAGGTTAATGAGTAATTACCTAATTGAAGTAAAACCGACGACTATGCATGTGAGGACTTCACACTCTTCATCTGCAGTCAAAATCGAATATTAAAGGTGGAGACAGGGAATAGCGACTATATTAATTAGGTAGCTTTAATATCATTTAGGGAAGTGGAAAGTATAAAATTCTGTACCTTTTTGCGGACAACGGAGTTAACAAGTACACACAACTGCCGAGGCAACTAAGCAACCTAGTGCAAAAGAATTGATAATGTTACTCAGAAATCAGAATCTAGCAGTTGACTTGACAAGCTCAAACCAATAAGTACTGAATGAGGACCAATCAGAAGTTCCCCACAACGTTGGCATCACCCACATAGCAACCTCAGCAAAGTTCCATATTTGGCCCTGCCACGCTGCCTCGCATGTGACGATGTGTATTTGCTAGAAGTTATTGCTTGCTTACTAACATTGGGCATATTCTTTGAAGGAACCTTCTCCCCCCTTTAAAACGCCAAAACATCATGAGAATGGCGCAGCTGCAAACTTTGAGTACATTTCCTCATTGAAAAGATCTCAATGGTAAAAGTACCTAGTCAAATAGCATGGCATACATCTCGGGTAACTGGATATAAGCTCAGGTAAGGGTTGACGGATGTTTCTTTAGCACTTGACACCTTATGACCCCCAAAAAAAAAAAAAAATGCTCGGGCTATTCAAATATGTCCGCAGTCTACTGCACTAATTTATTATTAAAACGGAATAGTGAGAACATATACCCATCAACCATTCTTACTCCACGTTTAGCAAGCCTAACTGTTCTTTCATACCAATTGAGAGGTGGCGAGAAACTGGGTTTCAAGTGCCAGTCCCAAGGATACTTCTTACTGCATGAGGGAGATGTGAAAAGCCTACCTGGCCAATACATCTGTTAATTTAAGCTTAAGCTTCATGTTACCAGCTTGTACTAATAGTTCTTCTCTAGAAGGATCCACTTTTAGGACTAAAGCTTGCTTATTAAGTGAAGGAACAAGGACTGAATCACCAACACTTGGAAGTTTCCTTCTTTCTGCAACATAGGCAAAACAATAATTACCAACAGTTGTAGATATTTGACCCATGTAAAATAAAGGAAACATAATATAAGCTCGCAAACCGTTGACAAAAAATGGATGATCACCTCAAAAAAGAAAAAAAAGGAGAAAAAAAAGAGGAATGTTATGTTACCTGAAACAGGTAACCTGGATGTACTGGCAGAGAACACAGGAGAAGTAGCCTCTGAAATTTTACTTTTTTCCTCTTTAGCTTCACTCTTCGTAGCTGATGTGTGTCCATTACTTTCCAATATTTTCTGGGATGGTTGACTTGAAACTGCACGATATTCTCGTGCTATCTTGTGAATGGAAGATCGTGCTGCTGCTGCTGCCTCAGATATTTCATGTACCTTTCTATATCTTTGATTAATGCTGTGTTCTTTCACTTTCTTTCTGGCTAAAAGCAACTTGTTATGGAGACCTCTAGTGAGCCTAAACCAAATCGACAGAGGACAAATACATGTGAGAAAGTAAATTTTCAATAATCAGTTTACTGCAAGAAAAAAGACCTAAAGGCTTCCTTAAAACACAATCCTTGAAGAAATGAAATGTGAAATCTTCTAAATCATAGCAAACTTCTAAAACTGTAAAGGACCAGCAGAGATCCCCATCAGATGAAGTTACTCCCTTTGTTTCAATTCATATGACACTCTTTTCATTTTACGAAGTTCCAACTTATTTCTATAAAGAGGAAGTTTTAAAATCTGAACTTTGATATGATGCCTTTCCAATCAAACTAACTTTTCAACCATCATTTAATATTTTTCTTCCACTATCACTAATGCAATCAGTCAAATTAAAATCTTACACACTGTGTAATCAAATACCGTCACATATAATAAGACGGTGAGAACGTGCAACTGAGCAGCAGCTCCCTGTTAAACAAATTTCTTATTAGAAAATGAGGTTCTCCATTTTCCTCTACATACATGCCAGTCAACTAGAAAGGGAACAGAGAGATCCACTTAGTGCAAGTAAAGGGACAAGGTACAATCATCATCACGCCCTTCCTTTTTCCTTTTCTGCCTCAGCCAAAAGGAAATCCTAACAAAAAGGGGGAAGGATGAAGAATGGAGGGGTTGATGGATTTCCTCCCTTCTGGAAGTATTTACCCTTTTTCCTTGTCTGGTATCTCAGATGGAAAGTAAAGGAGATTATTTTTCAAGTGGACAAAATTAGAAGGGATTAATATTGACAGATGACAAACACCATTGCTAATTACATCATGCAAGTACTAAACTTCTTTGTTTCTTTCTAATCCTAAATGTTATGAATAAGGATGCAATGGTATTAACTATTACTCATACATTGAAGAACTGTAGGATATGAATCTATGATTAACGAGACAGACAATCTAACCTTTGTGCTTACAAGAGCCACTGGCACACAAAACTGGACAGGAATTCCACACTTTCCAACATTGGAAACAATTCATTTACTTTCCTTGGCTTTCTATGTTTCTCTTTCCTTTATTCTTTCTTGCTGATTTCATTCAAGATGGTGAAACTAATTGAATGTAAAATGCAACAGCGGAATTCTAGTAATAGCATTGATTAGAACTGCTTTCACAAAATTTTCCGGCCACCATCAGTATATCTAACAGACCATAAATCAAGCTCAACCTGAAACCCTTTCCATCAAACTTCCACCAAATCCGCCACCGGTAAACATTCCACCAACTACTGCCCCCCAACACCATAACTTTCATGATTTGCACTCTTCTTATGCAGACCAAGCCAGACTTTTATCGCTATTTCCCTGCTTTTGCAGGTGAGAATTACCGTAGTTACCATATTTCAATTACCTTCTACTACCCCATATCTTCCCTTTTTCTCTATCCACACACACACTTATCTCATTCTAGCATCTTAGATTCAGGTAGATGCCAACTAGTATTAGGCTATCCCAGTACCAAGGGACAGGGTATCTGATTGCCATAGAGTGCGTGATTTACTTCCATTAACTTGTTTCTCCTTGATTAGGTTGGATCAGATCCTCATGCTAAATACCTACCATGCAGAGAAATTGAGATCTATAATGGAACCAAATCAATCTTGAAACAGTTTCAACGACCAAAACTACTGCATGAGGAGGATAAATCTATTTTGGTGAATTCTGAGGCTATATGGAATTCAGCATTAAAGTGGAGATTGCTTTTTGGATGAAATTTCATGCCAATTCAGCTAAGGTAAGCAAAGGATCCTCACTTCAGAAGATGTTGTGATTCACGAACTTGCTCATGAAAGTTCTGCTTAAATCTCTCCATGTCAAGTATAACCTGCAGTACAATGTTAATTAAACCTCTGAGAAAAGCACTTGCTAGTCTTTACAAATCGAAGTGATAAAGAAAAAGAAAATTCATGCATGTTCAGATGCGCAAATATGATGTCATAAGGAATTACTTGCATTGCGTTTGAACTAAATCCTTTTCTTGTGCATAATTCTAACACTAGTGCATAAGATAAGAAAGGAACTTTTAATTTCCAGTACCAATTGAAATTATTAATGAAACCAAAATCAATAGAAGCTAAACAAAGGTCAGCAAATTTCTTGGTACAGATGTTTCTACAGAGTGGCAATAAATCTAGGATCTTGGTAAGCCATCTATATATGGAACAAAAATTAAAGGATATGTGCACATTAGCGATATAAGGCAGACTACTAAGATTACACGCAAATCTTTTATCAATTACAAGTATCAAATCCTGAATACAAAGTTAATGGTATCATATGCAAGTACCTCATTGATTTCTGCACTAGCAGCTCCGTAAAGTTCACGAGCCTTGTGCACAATGACATCAGGTATCCTGAGCCTTTCGGCTATATTGATCGCATTTGAACGTCCTGCAGTTGGAGAAGTCTGAAAATAAGAGATACTACCAAAAAACTCAATGACAAGATCACCTAATGTTAAGAAGACATCAAAGCATCAAAAACTATCTATTGTAGATTTTTAAAAATTCCATGAATGGAGAGAATATCCTCCGAAATTTGTCAATTGATAATACAATATGCAGTTATCCCTGATTTCTCTTGTCATTGCACCCCTGGCCCTTTCACCGGTCACATAAAAAGGTAACTGAATATGGAGTGCATCGGCTTAACCCGGTCCCGGTTCAAATGTCTATTAATTTGAATTGTGCAGATGTGGAAACTGCATAAGAAGAAATTTTAAACACATATGCAAGAGTTCAAAATACAAGAAACAATAAAAGGATCGCGATGAAACAAGCTCGCTCTTGACTCTACAACTACTAAGTAGGTCCAGTTTTTGGAGATGGAGTGAGTATTTACATATGTGATAGTGCAAAGTATATTTGAACCAGAATAAACAATTTATCATAGAATATCTGCATATTTATTTGTACAGAACAGTGCAATCCCAAAACTCCATGGTTATTAAATAACAGTGTACAAATTGATTGATTAGAGAGTATACCATGGTTTTACTTGGTACTATTTCTATGATGAGATGAAAACGGGGTTATCTGAGGAATATCTGTTGATGATTGGAAGTGTATAGGTTTTCAACAACAGGCTAAAGTATAACAGTAGAGAAGTATAATAAATAGGAAAACTGCATTTCAATAATACTTTATGACATTGAGATTGTGACCCTGAAATATTTGATCTGAGACCAAAGAGGTATCATCTTTTTTTTTTCTAAGCCCAAGTAAGAAGTATTTCTTCTCTTCTTTTCACCACAGAAGTAACATGACATCCTATTATTAGTCATAGGTAAGAAACTCCAAGCTAATCAAGAAACTAGCACATGGATACAAGGACAACCTGGTATTCCCCAAAGAATCCTATAGGTTGGTTTCAACTTCATTTCGTCAAACTCCATACATGCATTTTCAAAGGCATGATTGCTGTCAAGTTCATTGTAGCACCAAGATGTTAGAGGAGGTGAGTCTTTTGTCTCATATAAAAGCTCCATCTTAGCATTGAGCACCTGTATTTAAGGGTTTTAAGTTCTCCATGATGTGTTGTAGCTATAGTCAACAAACTCCCAGCTTCTGCAAAAGATTCCAGTAATGACATCCCAAGTGCAGCTCCTTCTAGAGGATTTGTCCCCGCCCCTACCTACAAGATAAAGAATACACACTTTCTTTACGAAGGAAAATGTCCATACTTTCCATGAATAATTTTACTTGTTCATAGCAACAATATGGCTGTGCCTCTGAAAGAACAAATGAATAACTGCTGAAATCCCAGTACATACTTCATCTAATAGCACAAGTGACATGTCTGTTGAGTGAGACCGGATTTTCTGCAGATTTGGACAAAAAAATTATATAAAATTTTTGCATTTGGATTTAAAGGAACACTTCAAATGACATTAACTGTAGCTGGAGAATAATTGCCAATAATATCACTAAAGAGTAGAGACTCATTCAAGAGTTCAACAAATTGATAAATGCACTGAATTGGATTTGTCTTTGATCAAGAATGGTGACAGTAAATTTAAGCTTATACTCCCTCCGTTCCAATTTATGTGAACCTGTTTGACTGGGCACGGAGTTTAAGAAAAAATGAAGACTTTTGGAATTTGTGGTCCTAAACAAGTCAAAAAGGGGCCCAGAGTATTTGTGTGGTTATAAAAGCTTCTCATTAAGGGTAGAATTGTAAGTTTAAGCAAAATTGTTTCCAAATTTAGAAAGGGGTCATTCTTTTTGGAACGGACTAAAAAGGAAATAGGTTCACATAAACTGGAACGGAGGGAGTATTACATTTTGCATTAAAGATTCGACCTCAAAATTTCCTAAGATTAGTTTGAATATTGACCTCGGGAAAAAGAAGACCTTAGGAAAAGAAAGTCAAAGAGCATTTGAAAAGGGAATCAAGCTTTCCTAATTCTTTTTTCTTTTTTGGCAAAAGCATCGAGAATCATGGACAACAAATAATCTAATATTGGACAAAGATTTAGCACCCCATACAATCATTAAAGTACTATGAGCCAAATTCCGCTAAATCAATCCATCAATGTAGCTGATAGCCTGGTACAACAGGCCTCCTGTGCGAGATGCTAAAGAATCCCTAGGAAGCAGAAACAACCTATTATAACATTAAGGATCTTATAACTATATCAACTGATTCAGTAAGTATACACGGTAGCAATACAGAATGCTTAGTCCATCTGCATGGTTACAGCTTGGATATAACATGCCAGTCAGCTAAGCATTATCTTCTTTATATCACTAACAGATAATCTGTTTTTTTTTTCTGTCAGCTCCATCCAGGGATGTTCACTATTTAGCCAAAGTTATTATCTAATGTTTTCTTTCACCTTCTGTCCCAGTTCATTCAACCTAGTTAGCTTTTGACAGACTAATATGCCCCTAAGTTATCAAACACCTTCCAATATTTTGAATTCAGATACTGACAGTTTTATCATTTATAAATTTCTAAAGTGTTCTTTTTCTTTAAAAAAAGAAAACAAAGTCCTTGAACCACCATACTGGAAATGATGACAAGTGTAATCAACTTGAACGTCAAAATATTGAATTATGTAAGTGAAATTCAGAACAGAGGGAGTACAGCTATATCGGTTGTAACTTTGGACCCTCCTCTTTGGCTCTTCCTATTCATTTCTTGTAATATCCCTTTTCTCAATAGGTGGATTAACACACCTTCCTTGATTAAGCTCATACCATTTCAAATATGAATCTACTTTCCACAGCAAGGGCAAAGCTATGTATGGCCAAGGGTGCTCAACTGAACACCCTTCGCCGAAAAATTATACTATGTACTAGGGTAAAATATTACTTGTATTTGATTAAAAAATAGACTTTGAACACCCTTATTGAATTTCCTGGCTTCGCCACTGTTCCACAGGTACTATCTTGACTAGGTCTTCAATTTCTTCATTATCAATTTTGACTCTTAAATCAGCAGATTCATTATGCCAAAATCTTTTGCTACCAATATACCAAACATCCTCTGCCAGAATCCATGTAATACAGCTGGTATAATATTCACATATGGAATAGTTTAGCGCATATTAATCCTGTATATCTTTTGCTTAGCTCCATGACATCATCTTATGCCTAGCAATATTAACTGTCCCTCTGTCACCATCAGTAATTGGCTTGGAAGGCCTACAATGCTACTTCGTGGTATAATTTTACCTTCAATACCTAAAATGTCTTATGTCCCTTTTTCTTCACTTGATAGCAACCCGGCTTTCATTTCACTTTCACATAACACCTGAAAGCAGGTGCAATGCATCACTATGGGAACTGTAGCATGCAAGCAAAAGTTTAATTTCTCAGTTCATGTTCAAAAGCAAATTTGACAAATGTCTACACACTAGACAAGCTCCTCATTTATCCACAATCAGTCGACTGTCTGAAATTAACAATCACCTGCTGAGAGTTCAAACAAACAAAATGAATCCTTCCTCTCTCCCCCTTTATTTGACAAGAACTTCCATGCTAAAAAGTTACCAGGTTTAGGTAATGTAACATGGGTACCTAAGCTGACACTGCTCACTTTCTTCGCATTATTACTATGCGTGTGGTTTGCTCCTGGAGAGCTGCAATATAAACCAGATCTATAGTTCCTACACTAGAGGAACAGAGCATATACCAGGATGGTGGTCGATATTTAAATTAAACAAGGGCCTTTATACATGTACAATCTAGATAATTTCTTGATTTTATATAGCTTCAAATGTTCATCCTCAAGGAAAAGGGTAAGCAGCAACAAATCTACTCGGCTACATCATGTCAGGCTAGTAAAGGAAAAGCCAAAATTTCCAGAGGGAACTTCATTTAACTTACACTAATTTGTTTCAGATGCCCCGAGAAGGTAGACAGTGATTGGGATAAGGACTGCTCATCACCAATATCAGCAAATACAAAATCAAACCAAGGGATCTTCACTGGTTCTGATGCTAACACATAAAGACCTGCAAATCTAGTGCGATTATAAAAGTTATGCACTTCAATATTAGATCACATAAACACAAGTACTTTAGTGCAACACCTAGAGTTTTTGTTCTCAGAAAACGTACTACCTACTAATATGCTTACTGAAATAAGCGCCTCTTGAATAAATCATAACAGAAATCGTAGGATGACAAAAAAGAAATAATGGTAATAACAAAGTTGAAATAACATAGGAAAAAATATATAGATAATAATTTGAGAAAACAGCGTTTTCTTCGTTCTGAATACATGATGCTCACCTTAGGCGATTCAACTTGAGAGCAAACTTTCTTAAAAAGGAAAAAAGGCAAAAGTTCTAAGTATTTTTTCACGAGTCAACAATCAACACTAATCCCAACTCGGTGGCATTCAACTTCAGATGCTTTCAAGCTAAAAGACCAATAAAGTCACCTCCTTCAAGAGTTGGTTTTGAGTTGAGGATTAAGCATTAGTACTTGAGGTTCCCAAAAGTAATCTCGCATAAGTTATATGACCAGCTATAAAAAGCTACTCAAATAGAAATATCTTCATTCAGATGATTATTATGCATATCAGAAGTTATAATATCAACCACAATTTGTGGACCAGCACTTCTTCTATCACCACAATATAAGTTTAATTACATAATTCTGCTAAGCAATCGCCTGCTTTATTTCCTTTTCTCATTATACCTCTAAAATGTACTGAGAGAGCTTGATGTGATTAGTGACTTTATCATTATCAAAGATGATTTTCATACAGAAATTAGGCAGTGCCAATAAAGTGTGATATGAAGAGTCGAGAGAGAGACAGTAACAATGAAGTTAGGTGCAAAGCTGCACCCAACGGTGTAGCCTAACGGTCAACGAAGCTGGAATGAAGATCATGGGAACCAGGGATCAAATCCCAATAGGGGAAGAAAAAGTTAGGTGATTTTTTTCCCATCTGTTTAAGCCTTTTGTGAGCAGAGTTATCCAAAACATGTACTGGTCAGAGGATGCATGTGCCTCATGAAATAGTCGAGGTGCGCTAGTATAGGTAGCATGTGATTTCTGGAGGAACGAGAAACATGGCCAAGAGAAACTGCCAATAATCATTTGGCAGAAATGCTAATTCAATATTAGGATAATATCAAGGCAGAGAAATGAAGATGGACAGGATGTCAGGCATGTATACAATTTTTGTACCCCAGTTTAGGTTGGCTATACTGATGGTCCTGCTGAAGAGTGAGCAAAATGAAATTAACGAATGAAGGATGACTGCAAGAGTAATAACAGAAGAAAACAAACTTAAGATGTTTCAGATCCGGGCAAGGTTGGTCTTGATTGACTATTTCACCCATTAAAAGAGATCATGTGGACTGTTAACTAGTCTGACGGGGTAAAGTTTACAGGCATTGAGTAATAAGAGAAAGAAAGTCATAACTTGGAAAATTAGCTGTAACTTACCTTGGGAAAGTAAGTAAAACTACCTCTCTTTTTTCCTGTTTTGATAGGTGCTCAATTACCTCTTTGTATAAGATACTGGTAACTGATGACTTCTGATGTTTCATTATATAATGTCTAGTAGATATATTGAGGTTAAGGAAAGTTTGCATTTTGTGAGTTGTTGACTTGATGAACAAAGTAAATATATAGTATTTGTGCTGACCAGATTTTGCCATCAAAGCAGCCAAACCCACAGTCTTCAAGCAAATGGTTTTACCCCCAGTATTCGGACCAGTTATAACCAAAACTCGGGCGTTGTGAGCAACATATATGTCAACAGGAACTGGAGGTTCTTCTTTCAACTTAGCAACCTGAAGTCAACAGGTAAAAAGTACCTCATTAATCTACAATGGAAATTTTGCATTCACCATCAAATTCAGTGATCATGTTCAAAATATTACCTTTGCTTCCAAGGACTGTAAATTCGAATTGGTTTCTTCTCTCAAAATAATGTTTTCTCCCTGCTGCTTCCTCCTCCTAACTTCCTATACACAAAACACCAACCGAACTCTTTGTGAACTCAAAGTAATTCAACTAAGTGAAAATCAACCCTAAGTTATCACAACAATGAGAATCCATAAAACTGCTATGAGAATACAGCAAACGGAGCTGACATATGATAGAGTATGAGAAGAAAGGCTATTCAAAACATTGCAAAGCATCTAGCTGTTATGATGCATTGACATGGCATCTCTAGATTGACAATTCTAGTAAGGCTTATATAAATTTATTCGCAGATGTTAACAGCAGCAGTAACTGTTTCATCCAGTTAGAGTCTCTAACAACTTATATCCCAACAAAACTTTCTTAAAGTTCTCTATCAAACCTATAACCATTTGAAAGGAATACAAAAGAAATTCCACCGAGATCCACTTTCCACTTCTAGGAACTCCCACCAGGCTCACCCTCAGACTTCATGAACTTCACAGGTTGCATTATATGGCCACCTTAGAGTAGACCTTCCTTGACTAAATAATGCAACCTCTTTTTTTCCTTATAAAAAAAGGTTGCATTATTTAGTTAAAGAAGGTCAACTCTAAGGAGGCCATGTAAGATAATAATTGGAATAGATATGGCAATAAAACCTCCTTCTGGAAAGATAACTGGTTGGGAGATGGATGCTTAAAGGATACCCTCATATGTATGTTCTGGCACAACATCAACACAACACAGTAGCTGAAATGTGGTCCCCCAAGGATGGACACTTGTTTTTAGAAGAAGTTTGAATGATTGGGAGGTGGCTAGAATGACTGACTTCTACAAACATCTGGAAAGATTCATAGGTTTACAGAGTGGGGTGGACACAATAAGGTGGCATGGAAATAACAGTGACATCTATAAGGTGAATGCAGCATACAAGATCCTGAATCAAGCTAACCAACAGATTAATAACTGGCCTTGGAAGCATATATGGAAAATCAAGATTCCCTATAAGGTAGCATGTTTTTCTTGGTTACTAGCAAAGGAGGCTGTTCTGACACAAGACAATCTTATAAAGAGAGGGATTCAATTGTGCTCAAGATGTCACTTATGTGGAGAAGATGTTGAGACAGTTAGCCATCTATTTTTACATTGCAAGATAACTGACATCTTTATTAATCTCAGGGGCATAGCTTGGACAATGTCTAGTAAGATTACTGAAGTTCTTTTCAGTTGGGATGAAGATGGAACTGGAACAAGAGACAGAGATAGATGGAGAACTATCCCATCATGTATTTGGTGGACAATCTGGAAAGAAAGGAATTCCAGATGTTTTGAGGACAGAAGAAACTTTGTGCAGAAGATCAAGCTTACTTGTGTTTTGCTTTTTTGCTTTTGGTGTAAACAGATCTACGCAGAACATACTGTTTCAATCCTATACGTCCTAGAATCTTGTTAGGCCTGAGGACCAAGTTTTTTTCTTTTGGCTACAAATATGGTTTCAGTACAACCTATGTACTGATTTTATTATAATATACAATATGTTACCATCTCAAAAAAAAAAGAGATGGAAGTGGAACAGGCTTACCAAAAGCCATATCCCACCGTTAAAAGAGAAAAGACTAAGGCGTCATCTTACTAAATCCTAACCACTCGCACAAATCACTAACGCTTAAATCCAAAAGGAGGTCCATTGGCACAAAAGCAGTGATGATAAATTAATGAATTTTTTAATAGAAAATCTTTATATACTTCATGAGACTCGGCTATAATCTCGGCACTCTTTTAGCTTCCGACTCAAATGGAAGGAGATTCATGTAGGGAACTTATGGATATTCTTTTTTATCTAATAAGATAAAAACCACCATAAAGAGAGATGGCCTGATGCAAGTACGACCAGATTATATTGCAAGCTGTCCATGTTTCAAAGACAGGCTATAAGAGGGCACCTTTGAAGTGCTAGGAGAATCTAACACTTTTCTGTGTTCCATATGCATGTGATATGGAGAGTGACTTACCGCATTGGCATTCTTGACATCTTTCATGGCCTTCTGTAGAGCCTGCTGATGCTTTTGAAGTAATAAAGGATGATAAGCTTTAGGTAGATACACTGTCCATCTCCTCCGTGTAGGATGCAATGCCACTGAGGCTCTTGCTTCCAACGAAGCATCAGTAGCTGCAAAGCTATCCTTATCTTGTTGCAAATATAAGTCTGGACAAGCACCTCCAAATGCAAGACTATATCGTGCTCTTGCGTTGATCTATGGATATGAGAATGACAATGAAACACGAACAGAACAAAATAAAATAAACACTAAATATACGTGACATCAAATAAATCCGACTAAGTGGTCAACTTGTGAACAATTTTCTACTCGACATAATAGATCAAAGAGCATTAAATTGGAAGGCCTCAGACACCAATGTCAAACATCTTCGAGTTGGAGAAACAACATAAGAATAAAGAGGAGCAATAAATATTTCTAGGAACTTTTAATTATTCAGATGTTACCAGTCATATTATGACATTTTATAAAGAAATGGCAAAAGTAACAATCGGCATAATATATCTGCTCAAAAAAGTAGTACTCAATCAGTAAGGTATAACAGGACAATTGTTGGATGCCGCAACTCTGGCCACTGAACAACTTATAGTGTTTCATCCTTGTTCATCCAACTAGATCTCTTTCTCACTTAACACAAAAGCTTAAGCTGAAGTTGTTAATAGTATAGGATTCAGAGCCTTATAAACCCATTTCAAAATGTATCTCCAACCGATGTGAAGCTCGTTTTGGGTACCATATATAGTATCAAATAATCATATAGATCGTCTTTTAAATGAAGTACAGAAATCAGAAGAAAACATAATCGAAAACGAAATAATAGAACCTACCACATCTAGCCTAACCATAATGCTGAAAATGCTTTCTATGTTATCAATTTCTTCTTGCATCTGCATAGAAATAAGAAACCACTGGTTAATATCCATATAAGACAACAGGAGGGGGGGGGGGGGGGGGGGGGAGCGAGAAGCATAAGTTAAGCAAAACCTTCTGTGCTATCTTCAAGAGCACATCAGCTTCAGCCTTTGCCACAGATGCCTTGGCTTGCTGGAGTGCATCATTCATTGGAACTGCTGAGAGAGGTTCTACAACACTTCCAGTACCTGAAGCACTGAAATTGACTATCACCACTCAGAGATGATGGATAATACTATACAGGTGAGGAACTAATGACGTGAATAGTGTCAAACTTATCCATGGTGAACTAGCAGCAGTTCTTTTTTTCCCCACAATACTTGTAAAATATTATATGGCCCAAGAAAGCACTGTCTGAATATAATAATTACGACTTTTAGGCTTAACTGAGGGAATAATATCTTATTTTGTTTTAAATAAGTGAAATAAATGAATTTACATAGATGCAATAATGTATAACCAACTTGCTAATAGAATCAGAGGGAGAAGAAAGGGCTGCTGGAAATGGAAACTCTCCATTGAACTGTCTCTTGAATCTTTTGTAAAAGAAAATGCTGGACTTTCCAGAGGGGGCTCTTTGAGAGTCTACAGCACCCAAGTGTCAACCTTCTTGGAGCAAACAAGAGCACTCCAAGCTATTCTTACATATTCTTACAGCATACAATTTGAGAAAAAGAAGTCCCAACACACTAGTTGGTGCTTGCCGAGTAGCCAAGTAGAAGAAGATGTGGTAGTTTGAAATTGCATCAAGACAGTGGAATATGATGCTTAATTCAAGGGGAATTCGCTTGGATATGCCAGGCAATGTGAATAACCCTTTCTGGAGCAGGACAAGAAACATTAAAAAAAGAGAGATGATGTTTGGAAAGTAACCCCGCGACAATTTTGTATTTAATCACAGCATTTTCTGAGTGCTTGTTTTTTGTATAACATCAATGAAACCCTGTTACAGTTCATAGAAACTCTTGTATAGAAAGTCAGGGTAGACTCTATTTTTAAAAAAAAAGTCAGGGGAGACACTTTTTTCTTCTTTTTGCAACTTTTTCACAGCACTTTCTAGTAATCCCACAATAATTTGGAGTGGAAGAAACAGATCTTAAAAGAGTAGAGCATCTCATCCCTATTGAAAATATCATGTTTTTTTTGGTGCACTTCTGGAGTACCTGAACATCGAATTTTAAACTTTTTTTAACAAGATCAAATTTTATACAGCTGATTGAATGCCATTACAGGAGTTTCCTAATAGCTTGTCTTCAACTTGTAAAAGGGATTTATCCAGTTTTTGTGCAACGAATCTTATAGCTATCAAACAGTTCAGAGAATTAGAACTGATTTTGAATTGGTCATTAGATAATGCCATATCAGAGGGTTTTGAGAAGCTCGTGTTTCTCATCCTTTCAATAAGCACCTGTTTTTATTTTTCAAAATATCAAGCACACTATAACTCAACAGTAGAATGACGACGCCATAAAACTGTGGAATTCCTGCAGGAAGGAAATGAAAGAAATGAATAATTCAAACCCAATTTCAGCAGCAGAGCTTCTGACAAGTTCCTCATGAATTGTGGAATTTACTCAAAGCAGTAATTCTTTGCTTATGTCATTTCCTAATTTATGATGCCATCAACTTCTACTTATCAAAAAAATGATGTCACCAACTTCTGCTTTGCATGTTCTACCAACATAGAGCTTTCGAGATAGGGACAGAAAAAGACACAAAAAATTAGAAACATTATACAGAATTATTTACATAAGCCCCAATAAGGGAGGAAACTTTAAGATATTAACACACCTGGACAACAGTAGTCCCTCAAAGCTCATTCGCTGATTAAATCCTGATCTAATGCACAATCTGCCATCAATTTCACTCACTTCCTGAGTAAATATATCAGGTTAGCAAGGTGCTATGACAAATCCAGAAAGGCACACCCTCATCCAACGTTAAGGTCACACTCTCAGGTAGAGAAACTGTTTTATTTCATTACCACATTCAAAGCTCAAGTTTCTAAATAATATGTGGAAAACTAGTTGGTTATTAGAGTGACTTAAAGTTGTGCAGTTGGAACTGAATGAATAGGACAAAGGCCGTTACCATAGAAGATGCTTCTTCCACTCCATTCCTGATTATGCTCTCCATCAACTGGTATAACTGAAGATACAAGAGAATGCAATAGGTTAGTGTCCAAGCAGATAGTGTCGGGGCAGGAAACATCAAAAGGACAGCCAATCTCACACCCCATCAGCAATGTGAGTATTCCCCTAACAGAAGTGCAACAAAGTGGCAAATAGTTCCTGACACTTGTAAGAATTTCTGCTTTTCTTAAAGATAATAATTCCTGCAATCCCTCTATCATTTTCTAGATGTTCTCGTGCCAAAGAACAACCAAACTTTATTACCATGCCTACTCCATACCCAGAGACAACAGATCAAACTTGCATCAGCCTCACTGCATGGTAATTTTCTCCACAAAGAGATGAATTGATAACATTTACTAACTGGAATAAGAGGATTTTAGCTATGAAAAGATATACGCCCAGGTAACAACCTACAGGTTGTTGGTAGAATGTACTTACCGCCTCCATGTATAACCAAAAAGAATGTTAAGGATGTCAGCTCAAATATGCAACCAAAAGATTCACCGACTTCCTTTTGCATCAACTAAAGGATTAACGACATAACAACTTAAGTCCATTATTTTAAGATTATGCATGTCACATGATAAGATAGTTAAACCCTAGTTTTTTATTTTAAAATATAATCCGACTAAAGAGATCATGCTTATGAACCGACATATACAGATGATAAACGAGAGCAGAAATATACACTAACTGAAAAAAAAAATTGAATTTTGCATAAAAGATTTCTAAAGCAAATATTTGAAGGGGGAAGAAATTTCTGAAAAGCAATACCCACCAATTTCCCTGACGTACAGTCAATTAGAAGGGGAAAGAATGAACTCTACCTTTCGTTCAAGCAGGCGCACTTGATCACGAGATTGTTTCAAGGCAGAGCTCTACAACAATAAAGTAATTCAAATAAGACTAGTAAAAGTCAAATATAACCATAGTAAATAACAGAGTCAATGCACGTGGGCAGAAGATTAGAACAAAATGTCAAGAAAGTGATTTACGTTACGGCTTCTGACAAGCTACAAAAATGTTAAACTGCAGAAATACCAAGCAGTTCATCAAAAATGAGTACAGACCGCAGAATCCTTGACGAAACCATCTTCATCGACCAGTTGCTGTATGAACCTCACCAGTGATCTGCTTACGTTTAATTCCATAATCTGCAGTAGATATAGAAACAATTGGAGATAAACGCGCCATACGTAATTTTAGACAAGTTCATTGTTACTGAAATTATATTACCATTTCTGTGAGAGGCATAAAGCGCTGATACCATTCTGCGTCTTGCTTGATTGCTGATTTCACATTTGACTGCAACATTTCAACAAACTGCAGTAGCGCTACAATGTTCATTGCTTCAGTCCCACTGACAGGAAAACCTCTGCGTGCAACTTGTAAGGCAGTTTTGACCTTCAACAACAGTAAAGAAACAGACAACATGATTTTTCAGCACTCGCAATTTAAGAAGGAAATTGAACTACAATAAGTTTCACCAGTTTGTTCATTGCGATTTATTAAGAAACAAACTAATGTTTTTTTTAAAAAAAAATATACACCATAGGGATAAATGGACAATAAACAAAGTTAAGAACCTACCAGTTCAATATCGATGCCGTTAAATTCCATCATGGCGCCGTACTTATTCATCTCAACAGCGGCATTGGTTTCCTCTAAGAGTCGGAGACTATCTTCAAATGTTTGATTCAAGTACCCTAGTTGTTCCTGCACCACAAATTCCTTTGAGAATCATATATTATTATGTATACACATATATCTTTTGTAAACACACACAGGTATACATATACATTGTATTACATATACGATGTACAGATGTATATACAGACAGTATGCACATACATAAAATTGCACATAATACATGAATATTTGTACACGAATGAGCTAGGTATATGTACAACGAGAATTAATTGCACGGAGAAGTTAACCTTGAGAGTTACTTTGCCTAAGGAAGTGCCGGCGAAGGAAGCAACGGAATCGCATAATTTGTCCCATTCGAGGACTCTGAGACTATCGACAAGTATGGATGGTTGATTAGAGGCAGGTGCAGAGCTCGAGTCCAGTGGTTTATTTAGGAAGGCATGGACCTTAAATCGAATGGACTGCCTGAAAACACTTTGAATTTTTGGGACGGCAAATGCTACGGTGGCGAATGAGGCTGATGAATTGGGAAGCAGTGAGATTGAAAGGAGCATCATGTATTTGAAAATGGATTATTCGGAAAGAGATGATTTGCAGAGCCCAGAGGAAATGACGGAAGCACCAGTGGCGGGGAGAGAGAGTGCGCGAAACGGGATAGACTTCAGTAAGATTGATCATTACGCGCGAATACGCAACAATTGGGCCTTGAAGATCAAGATTTAAGCCCACGACCCATGTCATCTTACTAAAATTACACTGGAGGAACCTTTTCAGGATTGTTTAAATTTTGATCACATTAAAAAAGGTTTTGAGAAAATAGCCTCCAAATAGAATTTTGAAGCATGCTTGTCAGAATTTTAGAAATTGATTCTAGCAATCACCAAAATTTTGAAGCACTAAGAATTCATGCACAATGCTAAAAATTTTGTGGTCGGTCATGATTTTTTCAGCATTGTGGCTTAAAATTCTGGCGATCATTAAGGTTTTGACACATTCTGACAATTATATAACTTGCTGAAATTTTTGGCGAGCATGCTTTACAATCTAACGCGGGTTATTTTCTCAACACTTCTGTTATCGGGGTTAAAAAATTAACAGTTGCACCAGAAATATTCTATTTTTGTCATTCTCTCGTCATTTTAAACTCAACCAATTAAAATGTTGAATATGTACCTTGGAATTTGTTAGAGGCACTATCTGACCTATATTAGAACATCCGACCGTAAATTATCTTAAGTCGAACGAAATTACAACACACTCCAAATTATTATTTCCAAAAGATTCAATCTTAAGCATTAAGGCATGTACAAGTAGAACAAAGATTACTTTAACGCACTTCCACATAAATTAAGCAACTTGTAATATATGTACTGACAGCTAGTTTGACCTTTTTAACCCATTATTTGGATTAGTTTTAATGAATATTAAGATGTTAAAATGAAATGGTGATTTAGAGACGAGTTAGTTGTAGATTATAATGGCCTTTTGCAACTTCTCGCTGAATGAAGAGAGGAATAAGGGTATCTCGTCAGCTCACCCTAAAAAAAGACAATATGTCATTTAGTAAACACTTACTCGAATTGAGTGTTTTTTTATTAAACTAATGAATACAAGAAATATATTTTTTATACACATACTAAGTGACGTGTATTTTCACCTTAAGTTTTAAGTAACCATGATTAACTGATACGTATTCTTAGAGGTCGAGTCAAAATTTGAAGTTTACAGGTTCAAAATTCTAATCAGTTTTAAGTTATTGAGTTCTACATTAATAATTCATATTTATTCAATAAGTTATTTTTAACATAAATACGATTTTAGATCAAAGCTATTGGGTTCGGCCGAACCCACGAATCAAAGGCTAGATCTGCCCTGCGTATTCTCGCCTTAACTTTTAACTATTAAAGTTAAATTGGTCGATTTGGTATAAACACCTAATGCGTTCACTCAATCTATGATGTTATATTAAACCTGTCAAAGGGGTCGAACCGGCCCGGACAGATTTTAGACCGGCTCGGGCCGGCCCGGTGGTAAGGGGGCGGGCAGGGCTGGGTTTTGGACGTGAACCGGCCTGTGCCAGGGAAGATTTTACTATCGGGTAACCGGACCGGTCCAACCCGGTAAGGTATGTCAATCTTGAATATGTTAACAAGACCTGGCCGGTTCAACGGCTAGTTCAATTATTAATATTTTTAATACTTTTGACTGTTACTTGTCACGACCCAAAATCCACTAGTTGTGATGGCTCCTAACCCAACCAGTTATGTCAGCCAATTAACAGTTAACACAATTCCAATAAAATAAAGGTGACTAACAAATGATATATCAAGATTCCATATAATATCCCAAGGATTGATAGTACAAGTCATGAGCTACTAAGACTGGATTATTGTAAAAACTGATATGAAATAAATATAACTTCTATTTGAAATATACATAAACCGAATTCAACTCTAAAACTACCCAAGGACAAGTGGCGGTCATACCCAGAAGGCATGAACATCTTCAGAGTCAGCTCCCGCCATCCACCGCGGCCCCGCTCCAAGATCTGCACGCAAGGTGCAGAAGTGTAGTATGAGTACAACCGACCCCATGTACTCAATAAGTATCTTGATTAACCTCGGTGAAGTAGTGACGAGGCTTTTTAGTTAAAAAATATTCACTGATATAACATGTACAGAAGACTAGCAATAAAACAATACTAGAACATAACCGAAAAGAGTACAAGAAACAAATATGTGAAGCAATAAATGATTGCTAGAAGAAATCACAATTTACATTCCTCAATATCACGACCAATCCTTTCATTATAGCAATAACCAACAAACCACGACAGTAAATCCATAACTTTCATAGTGTGAGAAATGTACTCAAGATATCAAATCAAATGGCACAGCAACACCCTCCGTGCATTTATCTCATTCTCATCAAATATTCGTATAACGGGACTAATCAGGTGAATGAAATACTAATAACAATAATGACAAAGTAGAAATATACAGGTAGAAATAATGAACAATGCAGTACATATAGACAACGGTAACAAACTAGGTAGAAGGCATAGAAGTAATGACAGCAATTAGGAAAGAAGAACATAAATTTTACTAACTCGCATGGTAGAAGGCCTAAATGTAGATATAACAAAAAGAGGAAAAATATGATCTTTATAAGCTAACAAATAAAAGGCATGAATATAACATGGTAGAAGGCTTATACGAAAGTGCAACGAGTGAGAAATGGCATAGATGTAAGTATGACAAACAAGAAGGAAAAACATGATATTTGCAAGTTAAGCAGATAAAAGGCATAGATAATACAACTACAATTTGAGGTGGAGGACAAAGATAGAACAACAATGACAAGTCACATAGAAAACATAGGTGCAACAATAATAACTCAAGATAAAAGGCTTGAATATATATACACAAGGAAAAGATATCACAACATAATGCATGTCTTTCGTCCTCGCCTGCACGGAAACATCCTTCGTGTCATGAACGCATGATAATATAAAAACATGATAATGTAAATGAAATGGCACGGCATCACCCTTCGTGCTTTTACTCTCATCCTCACATGTTAATGTAAATAAAATGGCACGGCATCACCCTTCATGCTTTTACTCTCATCCTCACATGATAATATATATGAGATCATGATAATGTAAATGAAATGTCACGACATCACCATTTATGCTTTTACTCTCATCCTCACAATATAATATAAATGAAGTGGCACGATATCACCCTTCGTGCTTTTACTCTCACCCTCACGTGATAATGTAAATGAGATAATGATAATGTAAATGAAATGGCATGGCATTACCCTTCATGCTTTACACTCTTCCTCACCAAGCATATGCGTATCAATGACAGCAGAGTAAGAAGCATGAATAACATCACGGAGAGTGATTAAACGAATATTCCAAATGAACATCAATCACAGCTTTCAAGCTAATAACAAAAACCGAGTAAATATGAATTCATAAAATATAACAAAAATTGAATATAGAACACTTACCCCAATCCATGTGGTGAAAATAACCTCCACATTTGCCCAATTCCGAGCTCCCCAACTCAAAATATGACCAAATGAACAAACCCTCGATATTATATGCTTATGCACAACTGCTCTGCCTTATTTTTGCTGTGCAAAATGATCCCCAAAACTCGGTTTTGATGCCTAACATGGATTCTTCATGAAATTCCAGTCAAGTTAGGCTTTTGAATCACTCCATTTAATCTTATAATGAAGGAGATATGTTGGTTTCAATATTTAAAAATAATGTAGATTTTTAAATACGAATTCAGTGGCAATTTCATAATTAATCTTAAAAATCTAGCAACCTAATTCTTAGTAAATGACCATCAATTCCTCATACTATATCGAAACTTGATGATTTCAGTTGATATGGTTCCAAAATTACGATACATATATAATGGTTTAGTCGAAACACGAATCAAAGGCCGTTTTCTCGATATAGTAACCTTTATGCTCAAATCGACATTGAAACCGAAAACAATCACCATACAACCCAAACTTATCCAAAACTCATCGGAATTTAACCAAACTTCATGAACATATCTAAAATCATCATACAAACCTACAAGAATAATTAAAACTCAATTTCGAGTCCGTTTACCCAAAAGTCAAACCTTGGTCAATTCTTCCAACTTAAAACTTCTAAAACGAGAATCATTCTTCCAAATTAATCTCGAATCGCTCAAAAACCGAAATCAACCGTACACGCAAGTCATAATACATAATATGAAGTTACTCAAAGTCTTAAACCACCAAATGGAACGATAAATCTCAAAACGACAGGCCGGGTCGTTACATTCTCCCCCACTTAAACATATGTTCGTCCTCGAACGTACCAAGAGTCATTCCAAAGCCATCAAATCGCCAAATACCCTCATCATACACATAACCATGGGTGATACCACGTCACTCCAATCTATATAAGCCCAACAACACCACCTAACAGAGGATCCTTACTTTAACCTTAGTCCATTAACCTTAAAACCCAATTTCCAACATTCGGAATGTTACACCCTGTACGTCCCAAGGTGACTTATAATGAATATGAGACTTGTTAATAATGATTTAAATGAGTTTAAAGTCATAATATGACTATATATGATTTTTGGATAAAACATATAAAGTTTGGAAAAAATCAGATTAAAGTTGCGGAAAAACCAACTAAGAATTTGCCATATAACAAAGATTTTTGAGAAATAAATTTAGTGTACTATATGAGGTCTTTTGGGATATATTATATACCAAATTGAAGGTCTTGGAAATTAGTTTCTAACACTCTTAACCGTTTATTCATACGATATCCGAATAAAAAGATATAAGCGTCGGAAGATGGACGAATCAGAGGGTGCCAAGCTAGCACCTTTTGACTTTTCAAAAGTTGATGTATTTTTTTAAACTCGTCTCTCTCTCTCTCTCTCTCTTAATTTTACATAGCATCTGACCAGAGGACACCATAAAAGGTTCTTGAGCTCTCTAATATTACTTCAAACAAGACTATCATCTCGGACACCAAATCAAGAAGCGATAACATTAAAACGATCCCTATGATGTAAGTATCGCTATATCGCCTCTCTTTTTCTTTGTAGTTTGAGTTTTAGAATGTATTTAATAGTTAATAAA